AGAGATTTCTGGGTCTTTAAAAAAATATTTTTTTAAAAAAATTAGAGACCATCTCACTCACAGAGCAACTATGAAAAATATAAAAACCATATATTTTAATAGGCAATTAAAACAGGAATAAAATAATTAAAGTTTTTTGTTAATCCCCTGGTGGTTATTTGGATTCTTACAGCCCATATGTAATAAATTTTAAAAGTTTCTTTTGCTTGAATAAACTCCCAAGACATGTAGAATTGGTGGTTCTTTGGGAAAATTAAAATATTTGAAAACAGATTTTATCACAAACTAATTAAGCTACAATCCATCAAGAGATTCAGTTCCTGATGACGATGGGGAGTTGTATACTCTCAACTCAGAATAATACTTCATAGACTTAATTAGGTCAGCTACAACTTACTTAATCAGCTATATATGTAGTGTATGCATGTAGTGTAGTATATAGTACAGGTAGTCCTCGACTTACGATCACAATTGAGCCCAAAATTTCCATTCTTAAACACTTGAGTTTTGCCCCATTTTACAACTTTTCTATCCACAGTTGTTGAACGAATCACTGCATCTAAGTTAGTAATGCAGTTGAATCTGACTTCTCCATTGACTTTGCTTGTTAGAAGGTCACAGGGGGAATCACATGACTCCAGGACACTGCAACTGTCATAAATACATGCCAGTTATCAAGCATCCGAATTTTGATCACATTATCACGGGGATTTCAGAGTCATAAGTATGAAAACAGTCCTAAGTTATTTTTTTCAGTGTCATTGTAACTTTGAAAAATCACTAAACAAATGGTTATAAATCAAGGACTACCAGTGTAGTGCAGTACAGTGCAGCACAGTATAGTGCAGTGTACTTTAATATAGTGTAGTGTAGTGTAATGTAGTTCTTAGCTTTTAAAATGCCAATAAATATTTTAAAATCTTAATTTCATTTTGCCTTCTCTCACCTGTATTAGCAACTCTCTCTCTTTCTCACACACATGCACACACACACACACACACACTAAAAAAAGCATCCAAAGTACTATTTGAATGTCACCAAGGGATGTTATAAGACAAATCTGGAAGATATATAAAAGCCATAAGACAGACTCCCTTCCAATTCCATTTACTCACCGAACATGTTTTTTTCTTTTTCTTATCAATGTCCTGGATTAAGAAAAAGCTAAGAACAAAAAACAAAAAGACCAACCTCCTAGACCAGAGGTGTCAAACTGGCGGCCTGCAGGCCAGATACGTCACGTGTAGGCCACGCCCACCCCAGCTCTACGCAGGGAAAAATGTCGTGATACATCATGTGATGGTGCGAGTTTGACACCCATGTCCTAGACTAACACTATTCAAAATATTATATTAAAAATGTATTGTATTAAAATATGTTTCAGCACCTAAGGTCAGGAAAACAGCGCACACTGCACAACTGGAAGACCTTTAGAAGCAGTAGTTGTTCATTCATACAATCTTTAAAGTCTAGTATGATCAAAATTAGAAACAGAAAATATTTCTTGTAAATTAAATGCTAACTCATACAAAGAACCCCAACAGTACAATTCTGGTAACTAAGCAACCACTGTACAAACCAAAATAGAAAACAAAACAGCCATGACACCTTAATTTCAGGGGCTGAAATCCTTGTCAACTTGAAAATAGCTAATTGAACCAGCTCTGGCTCAAGGCTAATTTTCTATTTACTTATATCTGAGATTTACCTTTAATCTACTTTCACTCCCATTCAACATGCTCAATTCACCCCCGCTGCCAATCTCTTCTAAAATTAAAAGCCAAGAGGACTCAGTGACCAAAGTATTGGATTTAGCACTTATTAACTTTTCCTTTTTAATATCACAATCTCTGGGGTGTGATGCTAGTTTGCCTCCTCGTGCTGCACCCTAGATAGCACAGAAGTGTGAACCAAATGACTAGCGACAATTGGCAGCCAGACTACATTAAAGAATTGGTAGTTAATGACAGTTGGCAGTCGGACATCTTTGTAGAACTCCTGGCTCTCTAAATACATGGCAACGGATAAACAACATCAAGAGCTTACATCGGCCCAATGTCTGTTTTTTTCGGCATGGACCAACATGTCATTGGATGGCTGGGTGGACTGGACATTGGCATTTGAACTACTAAAAGTCCATGTATTTGCCATACACTAAATAAATAAATCGCAATCTCTAAAATAGAATAAAAGCCTACTTGATGAGGCCTTAATGTCAACAGATACAACAACCTATCTAAAAGCTAATAATGAAAATACTGACGTGCTGGACAGATTCTGCTTATTTTGGATTGACTATGAATACATAATAAAGGAATCAGCAGTTGAGAAATATGCCACAGACTAGGACATGGTAGAATAGCCACAAAGGCTTTGTTAAAGATATTCAGATGTCATGATGTGTCCATACCTACAAAGAATTCTCCAAGCTATGGTTTTCCTTATGATGCTCTAGTCAAGTGGAAGTTGGATTTTGAAGAAGTAGGAGAGAAATAAATAGTAATGTTGATGTTTTTGAACTTTGAAAAGATAGCAAAGTAAACAAACAAATGGATCATTGAACAAATCAATCCAGATTTATTACTCCAGGCACAAGTAACAAGGCTCAAATGATACTTCAGATACAGTACATTATGCAAAGGTCTAACTCTTTGAAGAAGTTTATAATGTTCATCCTGGTTAATAGAATGTCCTAAAAGACATGGATGATACTTTTATTACAACTTTCTCACTAATTAATTAAATACTACTACTACTACTACTACTACTAACAGTAAGACAACAACAATCTTGGAAAAGACTTGATAGGTAGACAAAAATGCCAAATCCAGCCTGAACATCTGGCTGACTGTGTTCAATGAACCATAATAATAATAAAAATCTGCATTCTGAGAAATTCCCTAGCCTGACATGTTTTTGCCTAAATTTTTTTGTCAATGTTTCAATTTTACAAATTCATACCATGTATTCACAAATATTAAGAATAGATGTTCATATAAAAATCTAGAGTTTTAATGCAAACAACCTATACCGGTACTACTTTTTTAAAAAAATAAATTTTTATTAAACATATTTCAATTTTTTCACATTTCTACTCTTTACAGTGTTCCGATACCAGTATCACTCATATTTATGTAGTTTCCAATTTTCATAGATTGCTATTCTATATATTATATATTTACTTAATTATATAAATTTAATTATATTATAATTATTTATTTATGTACATAAATGTACACATACCGGTACGTCTATCTTTTCTCTTAAAATATGGACAACAGAAAGTTTAAAAAATTAAATAGTATTATTCAATCTATTGTTAGCCTGCATCTGTAATGAAAAAAATCTGCCATCCTAAAAAGTTGAGCATCCAAATTATGTAATATTAAAACTTCCTGTTCAAGTGTGACATGAAAAGCAACTTATAGCATGAAAGAAACTCATAACATTCAAAAGAAAAATAGAACATCTAACATGCAAATAGAAAATTCATCAGAAACAAAAGGTTTGATTTTAGTTATAAAAATATGGGTTTGAAATATTTTTCTAAAGGCAAAGAACAAAAGAAACCTTGTCCATCTCAAATCACAGGAATCTTTATAGAACTGCCCTCTCTTGTAGATCTAAATGTCCAGATTCAGAACAAGATAGTTCTACCCTAATTTTTTTTTAAATTTGATTTATATGCCGCCCTTCTTCGGAGACTCAGGGCGGCTTACAGTGCGTTAAGCAATAATTCATTTGAGTCTTAAAGTTTATGTCAATATCTTAAATGAGGCCCTCAATGAAACAGCAATGAATGTAGCTGTCTAAACAACAGTCCCATATGATTTCTATTTAATTAATTGAATGGGGATTGTCTTTAATCCCCACAATCCCCAGTCAGGGGATTATGGGAGGTTATCAAATTTGGTGAAAGCTGCTTTACATACTGTGCCTTTTCTTGAAGAGTCTCAAACCAGAACTCAAGTTGTCCATTTATTTCACCTTCACTATAAGCTGATATTGTTACCAGCTTTAGGGGAATTAAGTTGCTTGTGAAATTAACAGAGTGCTGCTGGTTTCCTGGGCCATCTCCTTCCTCCATTTCATCATAGCCATGGAGAAGGATGCGTCTTTGCTAAAGGCCTCCTTCAGGTCCTGTAGTCACTACTTGAAAGTGAGCCGTTGCCACTGCAGAGATCAAGACCAGAACAACAAGCTTTCCAGGAATGATGGCATCTGATTATTCATTGGTGGCTTTTCAGTCAGCATCCAAGACAGGCTGTGGTGGCTGGGATTGCTGTGCAACATTTGGAAAGCCATACATTGTATCCTGCAGCAGCAACTGCACTCAATTCAGAGTTCAAGCTTAACTAGGTTAGAATGTTGCCCAGCCTTGTGCTAGCAGATGATGGCAACACAGCCTTAGATTAAAACAGAGCTGCCCAACCCAGGGCCTCAGATCCTTAGAAGTCAGATCAAAACTCGGGTGGCCCAAATAAATCTTCAACTGTCTCTTATGCCAGAAACAACTCCAGGGAACAAGATGATGCGTAAGGGATCCCCAAATTACATACAACTTTTAAAACCTGACTACAATTTGAAGACCAGATTGTGAGATCTGGAAAGAAAAACTCAGGTTGCAGCAGCTAAATGCAGAGAGGGGGGAAATGGGGAGGGGACAGATGAGGACAAAGAGCAGGAAAGGATCTACAGACACCACACCACCCCCTCTCCAAATAAGAGCTTCCCAAAATCCCAGGCCTGGTAGGGTTTGAAATCCCAGACATCTAAAGGTCTCCAACTGGAAGAAGTATGGCAAAAATGCAGAACGGATAGGAAAAGGGACCCGGGGAGGGGGGGAGGCAGACACAAAGCTCCCACCAAAGCAAAGGAAGCAGGAATCCCATACATACACACAAATACACAAACAAACACACACACACACACCAAGCGCAGAGTGGAAAATCCCGCAGAGAATCCCGCGCTCTGCGAAAGCCCGCAAGAAGGGCACTTACTATCGGTCGCCATAGCTGCTGCTGCAGCGGTTGAAGAGACCCACTTTTCCAACCGAGGACTTGCGGAGGGGCGGCGACAATGGCTTCTCAGCCACCTGCTTTCCCACTCGGCGTCGTCGCCGCCGCAGCAGCCGCCGCCGCCGCTTTTCCATTAATCGGAAAGGAGGCGCATCCTTTAATCCATCACTTCGCTCCCTTCCCTCCAGGAAAAGAGGAGGAGGGGGAGGGAGGGAGGGAGCGGATTTTACGCACGCGCTCGTCGGGGCTCTGTACCTCGGCAGGCGCGTGCCGGAGGGGCGGCCTGCGGAGGCGCCGGGCTTCTGCAGGAGGCTCGGCACGTGCTCCACGGTCCCTCCTCTCTCTCTCTCTCTCGGGCTCAAAGACCCGGGTGGAATCGGACGGCTGGAAGGTACCGACGCCCCGCTTTAGTGGCTGTTGCTGGTCGTCCGCCTCGCGGTCATTGGAAAGGTTTCCTGGAATGTTTGCAATAAATGCGCGAAGTAAGAATGAAAATCCTATAGAAAATCGACCCCTACGGGAAAAAAATTGGTTGGATCGAATTATATTATCAGCCATACACAAAAAATAACATTTCCTTATTCAGGTTTTTTTTTTTTTTCCCTCTTCAGTCGTGTCCAGTTTTTTAGAGACTGCCTGGACAGTTTTCTTGGCAAGATTTTCAGAAGTGGTTTGCCATTGCTTCCTTCCCAGGGCTGAGAGAAAGTGACTGGCCCAACCTGGCTCAGCTGGCTTCATGCCTAAACAAGACTGGACTAGAGCTCAGTCTCCTGATTTCTAGCCTGATGCCTTAACCACTGCACCAAACTTGCTCTACGTTTTATTTAAAATGGTGCAAAACTGATTGCATACAAAAGGATTAGCTTTATTCTTATCAACCTGTTCTTGCAACAGGCAAGAACATTGCATTGATTCTGGATAGGGAAAGGGGTATTTTCTTCTCCAACTCCCAACCCTGTTAAATGGTGCTGGTGTTTTCTTCAACCACATAAATATCCTATAAAGTATATTTAAAATACTTCTCTTGGTAGAGAGCTTTTAAACCAGTAGCCCAATTAATAGGGATGTGAATAGCATCCTCAATCCTTCTCACTTTCAAGGTGGGTTGGGACCGCTTCCAGTAATGACATAAGATCATAAATCCTGGAAATTCTGGGACTTGGGAGTCTCAATTGGTCCAGAGAATGTCAGGTTGGGAAGGCTGAAAAAAGGAAGCTACACGCTGAACAAAACTTATCCTAGGCTGCAGAGCTGTGTTTTCCACACAGAAATAAAGCCAGATTAGTTTACATCTCTTCTTGCAAAAGGAAGATGGCAATATCAGACTTGCGGCCTCCCTGCGATATCTGACCTGCTCCTAAGCAACAGACATGTTCACATTAATTTCTGACTTACCAGAACTGCTTTAAAAAAAAAAAAAAAACAAGCATTGACTCCAATAGCTGGGACTGTCAAAAGCAAGAGAGCTGTTTTTATTACTGAAATGTGTATGCCACTGGAACAAACTTCCAGCAGTTTATAATAAGAAAAAAATGCAATAAAACATCCATAGTAAAAAGAAAAACAATGCAATAAAATGTCTGTCACTGTGGGAAAAAAAGATTACTTCACAACTCCAGTAGCATCACAAGAAGAAAAAACAAAGGTGAAAACTATACAGTTCAAAATAGAAATGCAATAGTGGCCATTCATATCTCAAAGGCACTCTTTAGAACAATTCAACTGTCACCAGTTTCTGAATGGTCATAATTCTGGAATCCCGAAAGAGCACAGAGATCCAAAAGTTACTCTTTCTGGCTTCATTTCAACCAACTGGGACAATGTTGGTAGCTGTACTGCTTCAAGGTTGCAGGAATACACACGTAGACACCGTACTCAGAAGCTAAAGCAGATAACAGCAGACAGAAATGTAATTTAAATGTCTGGCAGAGAATGCTTGCCTGAAAAAATGCTGATAAAGTCCAAGAATAATAGCATAATCCAAAATCACAGAAAACCAGTCAAATAGTCAGTAGGTCCAAGAATCACAAACCATTATTCTGAACTCTTATTTCCAACAGAGACTGAAGGCAGCTGGCCTCAATTACTCAGGCCTCACCCTTTGCTTAGAAAGAAACCTCATTGAATGGCATTGCTCTGCTTACTGCTGCAAGCATCCACACTTGGGAGATTGTGCTTAATCATCCAACTGCTCCAGCTGATCAGAAAATATCTGTGTTTGCTCAGCCTCGTCAGATGAATCATGGCTTGAAGATTCCCAAGTCTGATAATCTACAGTCTCAGCTGGAGCAACATTGTCTGTGTCCGAATCAGAATCCTGGCCCATGACAGCAGTGGTTTCTCCTGCAAACCATCCTCAGACATCTCAACTCTGATTAGAATGGGTAGTCTTTGCAGGTACCTTGATGCCAACCCAGCTTTAAAAACTAAAAATATCACTTTCAAAGGCATCTGGAAGCCTATTGATAAGGCTTCCTTCCACATAACTTTTCTTCCTTCCACAGACTTCTTTATTTCATCAAGCTGGCCTGGCTAAATCTTCTCCCCTTTTTAAATGTAAATTTTAATTTGTTTTTAAATTATGGGGTATTTTAAATTTGTTCAGCCAAATTATTTAATTTGTTTTATTCTATTTTAAATTTTTGTATTTATGTGTTTTTATTCTGTGGCTGTTCACCACCCTGAGTCCTTCGGGAGTAGGGCGGTTTAGAAATCCAATCAATCAATCAATCAATCAATCAATAATAAATCCTTTAAGATAATACCAATTAGCAACAAATATGCATTTTGCGCTAACTGCAGTTTCTGAGTGATCTTCAAAAAAGATTGAGCACATGGAACATACTATGATGATAAAGGAATGAATCATGTAACCAGTTTGTGGTTAACTATGACATGGTACATAAACATGGATGGAGGCATCCAGGTTTGTTAGGCATATTCACTAGCTGCATGCTCAAAGTTGGAATTCTTAAGAATTCTGATTCGACATTTTCTGTTAAGGTAGCCCTCTCAATTAGTAGCCTTTTCAATCAGTAGGTTTGCCAATTAGAACTGAACTTTGACGAGCTGCTATTCAGCAGTTCTGTAGCAGACTTCTTTACTTGCCACCTCAGCTTGAGATCATCAGCAACATGAGCAGATCTTCAAATGTGAATTTAAAAGATTTCCTGTGCGGTACAACTCATTAAAAATATACTAAATATACTAAAGATTTTTGTTGTTATTAGTTGCGAAGTCGTGTCCAACCCATCGCGATCCCACGGAAAACATTCCTCCAGGCCTTCCTGTCCTCTACCATCCTCTGGAGTCCATTTAAGCTCACACCCACTAAAGATTTTATTGTTCAATTATTTAGTGCATTAATATGAGCTGAAATGCTGTTTTCCAGTTAGCATAAACCTTACCATAAGTTTGCTTAAACAGAATTGTAGTTTTACAGAGAAAAATACAATCTGCACACTGCTCTTTTAGAAAAGATGCCAGAAAAATGCCTTTACAAATGGAATTCTTTATTTTTCTGCCTTAGGCCGTAAAAGCAGAAATTCTTGTATTTCTGAGAAAGCTATAAGCTTAAGAATTTAAATATTTGAAATAAACAGCAAAAAGTCAAAGACCTTGACACCAGAAATTTATAAGCAAATCAAAGGACTATGTGTCAGAGAGACACTGTCCCAGTCAGGAGGAGGGATCGAACGGGATCAGTCTAGAATTGTTACCAAGATACAAGAAGGGAAGGTCTGACACCACCACCATCCCACTTAGATGCCATTGAGCCTTACCTGTCTTTCCCGGGGCAAACTACCAGTCTGGGAAGATTGCTATGAAATAGGCATAGAACAATAAACTAGCAATTTGAGTTCTTCACCTGTGGGTAGAGATGGGAAGGCCTGATCTCTACCAGTGGATCTGGTCATCAGGCAAATTTGGAATAGGAGAACTTTTGCTACAAGATTTTTGAAAATAATTAAACAGTACCTTCAAGGGAACTAAATTTTAAATCATAAGAAATTCCATAAGAAATTCCATACTTCTATGATTTTAGAAATTGGACACTAGAGGGGACTAAAAGATTCCAGGAAGAAAAGGAGAAAGGTTTGTCTTTTGTTTTGGTGAACATAGAGACAAAATAACAGAAAATACTGACATGAAAAATTTGATGAGATATCAAACACTCCAACAATCATACAATGAAATAAAGACTAAGGTGATTAGTAGCAAAAGGAAAGACTATAAAGTTTGTTTAATTAAGGTTAAAACAAGATGTTTCCACATTAAAAAAAATTATGGATTTTTGCTGGCATCAAGACTGAATGAAATGTTAATGATTTATGACTTTGTGCACGCATAAGGAATGGGTTATGGGAAGAAGAGGTGCTTGCATGTAACCTTATGGGAGTGAAGAATTACTATATTTGCTTTTACAGGCTGTGATGAAGATCCGAAATGGCTTCTTTAAATAGTTTTCTTATTTTTTCCTTTTTTTTTCAGTTTTATTCCTTATTATTTTTAATTTATGAGTTTAGTTTGCATTGTCTTTTACTGTAATTAAAACAGTATCTAAACAAGTAGGACAAAACCATGATTTCTTTCAACTTCTTATATCACATTTCAGCCTGCCTGTAAGCTTCAACCCTTAGTTTAAGCTGGGAAGCATTTGGTTTTCTATCTTCTCCTTTGTGAAAAATCTAGAATCACATAAGGATTTTTCAGTCTCGTAATAGTTCATTCCCCAAAGTTTTGTAGAAAAAAAAACAGAGATGAACTCCATAACTTTCAACAGTGCAAAAATGTTAAATCTTCTGATTCTTCAGAATGTTGTTTCTTTCTAGATTTTTCTAACAATAACTTACAATTACAAATAAACCAATGGAAGCAGGAGTAATATAGGTACATAAAAAGCTGAAATGTACATATGCACTGCATTACAAATCTGTTACTGTCCAGAACAAGAGTTTCTTCTTTCATGTAATTAACATGGCTAAAGACCTTTTTAAAAATGAAACAAACTTTTACCAAAATCTATTTTAAATATGAATAAAGAATCCATTATAATCTTCTATGAAGTAAATCATAAGTAATGTCTTTTCTGCTTCTGTGCCTTCTTAACAAGTGTCCAGTTCACAACATAGCATTGGGTCACTCAGATTGCCTCATCCCTGGCTGGAAAACATGGTTCATTTAGACAGATGATTCATGTATCACCATTTCCCTTAAGATGCACTCTTAA